AAACTACATATAAGCGCCCTGGTTCGTATTCCCTGCCTTATTCCCTGCCATCGCTGTGAAAAATACGCAAGAGAATCTCTCAAGGTCTCTTAACTCTCAACATTTGATCACGCAACGTGACAACATCCACGCGAGAGCACCCGACGTGTGCGTGGATCCGCGCGGATATATGACGTCAGGGTGGCGCAATTTGTTCTAAAAATAGAAAAATTGTCCCATATCATAGGTGCGCGCGGATCCCAAGACTTACGGTCTCCGTCCCCGATTATGGCTCCTGATTTAGGCCAAAAGTAAACGGGATGCGGGACACTCCGTCACCCCCTGCCTAATGGGGCCTCTCTGTTCGCGGACAAATATCTGAGCATCTTTTCGCCTCAAATGGAGGAGGGTATTGTTTACATATCCCTAAGTTTTCTAAATATATTTTCTTCTTACCAGCTCGGAGACCTATAAATATCCCAAAAAATATCCGAATATTTACTTGTCTAAGTCATTTGTAATGACACTGGGTCGAAATCGGACCCAGGCCACATTGGTGAGGATGGCAGTGGTGGGAGCGCTCGGAGGAAGGAATTGGTCCTAGTACGTTTCAAGATGGCGGTAGAAATGGAAGGACCTCTTTCTAAATGGACGAATGTAGTAAAAGGATGGCAGTATCGGTGGTTTGTTTTAGACGACAATACAGGGCTTTTGTCCTACTATACGGTGAGTACAGCTTTTACGCATTTAAGTTCCTTTGTAACACAGTGCAAATATGATTCGTGTAGGTAATGTAAAGAACGACAGAATTTTCAACTCAAGCTCGAATGTAGGATTTATAAGCTCACATGTATGGAATATATTTTTCGAGAGGTATTAAGATAAATGTTTGCTTGCAACTAAGTATAAAGAGAAGACAGAAGTTATTCGCTATACTGCAAGCTTATCTACATTGCTACAGTTGCTGTTACCCAGATTCTTAAATATAACGATAACAACAACAACAACAACAATCTTTATTTAAGCTCTATTAGATTTACAAATAAAAGAAGAAAAAAATGAGTCAATAAAGTAATTTCAGCTCTAATATTTTCAGATAGAGAGAGCACAGCCACTGACAGGCTCGACACTAACGGTAGCCAACTAGCCACAGAATAGTAGAAAGTTAGTTTTGGCTAGTACGTTTTTGACTTCCACAAGCCACTTTGGCCAGTAAACAAAATGAAATTGGCTGAACTAGTTTCTGTCTTCCTCAAGGAAGTCAAACACTAACACTTTACTCGGAAACAAGGTCAGAATTTCATCATGGACTTTCATGTTTAATTTTGGCTGTGTGGTACTTGAAAGGGTATTAAAACTGAACATGTTATTATATTGAAAGAAACATTTGACAAACAAAACAACATTTTCTGAAAGCACACACCAATATTCTTTTTTTGTTACAAAATTAGTAGCACCGTGCACAAAACATGAGCATCCTGATAAAGTCATGTGCAAAATTGTGCGGAACTGTAAAGAGAAAACATTAATTTTCATTTAGCATAACAACACATAGGTGATTTGTTATTGTGTCCATACTGACAAAACTTACCACTGCAGAAATAATTACGTGAGAAAGATTTATTTTGTTCGACATTTAGTAGCAGTCACGTTTTGCTAACCCTGCTTTTAAAACAGTTTGAATTCTACAGCTCCTGTCTGTGAAGAGACTGAAAAAGTCTCAACAGTTTTTACAATGACATCTTGGGATCTCGATATTTTTCCAAGGAAGTCTCAAAGAGAAACAGAGTCCTGAAAGTCTTTTCGGGAAAATCGCTGGATTTTTTTTTGTGATCTGTTGGCCTGAGATATTTGATGTGAGGATAACACAAAGCATTTAAACAAAATTAAAACTGGCATAATTCGGTGATAAATTGGTTCGCCCTAGTGTTAACATTACCAGTCAAGCGTGGCACAAGGTGTGCCGACTATATGTCAACTGGTCAAGAGGTTTCAGATACAAAATTGCATTGTTTTGTTTTTCTTAAAATTCCATAATGGATGTAAGAGGGTTTTCTTACCAGCAGTAAAATAGAAAAAGCCAAAAAACAAGAGTTCTGAAATGAAACCACCTGGAAGAAGGTGTAAGGGAAGAAGGTGTAAGTCTAAAACGTCCACTGCCAAAATGCTAATACGCTCTTTTCATTTTTCACATTGTTTTATAAATACAATATATCTTGTTGTTTTATTATTGGAACTGGTTTAAGTACAATGTAATTACCAACAATATGTATTAAAGAGAGTTGCTTGCATTGTGCTTTCAAGTCTTGCTAGTAATTCTGCTGTTGTTTTNTAAGTTGAAAAGTTAGTGTCGAGTTCTGACTCAGAAATAGCAAATTCTAGTGCTGCTAAGTGGCTGGGCCATGGCTGGGGAAAAAGAGTGAAAAAGGGAAGAAATATGACATACACCTAAACAACTGTACAAACACACAATCAAAAACAAAAAGAGAAATAAAAATGGGAAAGGGCTGTATCTGTTAAGACATCACATATTTTAGACCAGTTATGATATTTGACCCTACCCCTTACCGTGTAACAATGGAACTTCGGTATAATGAAGAGCCAAGGAGCTGGCAAAATGTTTCTATAACGAGTTGTGTTGTATTGGGGTTCTTTTCCATATATTTTGCTAATGCTGGGGCAAAGAATATCATTTGTTATACTGAGGACTTTGTTATATAGAGGTTCATTAAATCAAGGTTCCACTGTAATACGGCCACCCCGTGTAGAAGGCCAAATTTTCATGGCCTGTTGATGATCCTGTTAATGGGGTTACACTGCACAACTCTTGGGTTTGAGATTTTCTTCAAATATCCAGAGTTTAGTTCCGTTAAAATGAACATCAAATGTCTCGTAGTTGGTCCTGGTGTTGGGTAAATAATATGATTTCCTACAGGCCAGTCTAGTTTCATATTGATGAACTCTTGTCAGTGCTTTTGAAGAAGTTGCTAAAAGTAATTAGGAGTCTATTAGAATAATAGTCCTACATTAATAAAGCACTATCCAAATATATTAAATCACATATCTTAAGTACAAAAATTTATGTAAGAGAGGACTGGAGTGGGAATGACAGGCAAAGAATGAAGTGATCTTGTTTCTTAAATATAAAAATAACAACAAAGATTCGTACTGAATTTTTTACATGCATAGAATATTGAAATGTCTTGCTCTGGCCTTTAACCAGTAGCAGTTGAAGGGGTGCATGAAAAAAAGCCCAAAGTGACTCTTGATCTCATGTCAAATTCTCCTTTTTTCATTGAAGGAAGCAAGAATCAATTTGCTAGGAGAAACTTGCAGTCTATCAGATGTCACTTAAGGTCTTTTTCTGTGCACCCCTTCAATTGGATACATCACTAACTAAAGTCACTCGAGCACAAACGAAATGAGAATGAAATCATGTGACTATGGTGAATACTAAATTTCAGGTTTAGGTCCTGCCTTAATAGTACAAAGTATTGATATCATTGCTGTAATGAAGTTAAACTTAAAGTTATTGTTATTGTTGACAGTCCAAGGACAAAATGATGAGGGGAACAAGAAGAGGGTGTTTACGACTCAAGGTAAACTATATCTTGTACAATTATCAAATAGACCACATTTTTTCATGGTCTACATACCTTTTGAGACAGATATTCTCCTTTCTTTCTGCTTGGTGAGTCAAACAAGATGGAGTCTCTGCTCATAATTTGTAGATTTCCTATCTTTCCTACACAAACTAAATGAACACTCAATATGTTTATATGAAATCACATTGACACCCTTTCACAAATCCTCTGACAGTTGCCTCCTAAGTTGTATTGAGGCTACATCATTTTCACAGGTCTGGTTCAGACATCATGCCCTTGTTGAGTTGAACTCAATTGTATCAAGACACGAATGATCATTGAAGTTATATACACAACTTAAGCAGCTGCGAAATCAAATCAGCAATTAAATTTTTATCAGGCTTTAATTTCACAGCTTCTTAAGTTATGTATATAACTGCGATAATTATTCATGTCCTCATACCTTTCCCCACAGTTCAAATAATTTTATGATCTTTCAACTATTCAAGTTCAATTGTATCAAGTTTGGCTAAAGTGCAACTATTATTTTGGTGTTTAATTGTATTAAGTTTTACTTGAAGTGCCTATAAACCCCCCAAAATATTTTTACTTAGACAAATCTTTGTATAATTCTGAGCAAAATGGCACAAAAATTTTTGTTTTTGGTTAAAACCAGAATTTTCTATGGATTTTCAAAGTGACGGAAAATCGAGATTTGAAAACCCATTACCGAGCCACAGAACTTGCTGAAAGGGAATTGGTTGAGTGTAATTTGTGACGTAAAACCCGGACTGTGAGTTTCGCGTGTTGTGACTTCGATCAGAGCTGAAACAATGCCTGAGAGATGTGTTGTTTTTGGCTGTAGCAATGTTCAAAGCAAAGAGAAAGGGATACTCCTTCATCCCATACTGTTTTACGGTAAAAGTGAGTGTGAAAAGCAAAAGCGAAGGCAACTGGCGCCCATTTTATGAAGCTCGATTTGGTGTAGAAATTTTTGTAGAGCTCTACGACTCTACGCTTTCGTCACCAGTCTCCTCCTACATGTTGGAAAGATACATTACCTCCTACTTCATGGCTTCTACTGTAGTTTTGTATTGTTACTGAGGCTACCAGCCTATTTCGTAACATTTGATTTCAATTTGTAGCATATTCCTTACATATATCTCAGATAATTATATTAAAGTGTTATTAAAGTGTTATTGTGGTTCACAGTGTTTCAATCCTTTTCAATTTAAAATTCTGTATTGAGTTTACCCTCATCCATCTATGCCCTACGCTCTATGGTTCTATGTACAGGTGTAGAGGCTTACAGTTATTGTAGCCAATATTAAAGTGCATGGAGAATGTTTAGTGTTACTACGGTTTACAGTATTTTAATAATCTTTTTAATGTACAATTCTGTATTGAGTTTGCCCTCTACACTCTACACTCTGCGCTATATGTTCTACCATCTACACTCTACTCTCTACGTTCTACCAGCTACTCTCTTCAATCTATGCTCTACACTCTACAATCTCCGATCTACCAGCTATCCTCTAAGTCCATCTATGCTCTACGTTCCACCAGCTACTCTCTTCAATTTACACTCTACACTCTACGCTCTCTATGATCTACCATCTACACTCTAAGCCCATCTATGCTCTACTCTCCACATTCTACCAGCTACTTGCTCTACGCTCTACCATCTACCCTCTAAGCCCATCTACACTCTACTCTCTACGTTCTACCAGCTGCTCTCTTCGATCTACACTCTATGCTCTACGATCTACCCTCTAAGCCCATCTGCTTGGAAGGTTATTGGAATTTTTTAATTTTTTTTTTTTTAATTTTTTAACAAAGACTAGTGAAGAGCACAAAGGAAGACTTCTTGTAGTTGTAAGCTTTTTCGTTTATTTCCAGCGTGCTTCGTCTCTATCTAAGACTTCTTCAGGGAATGATTTAAACGTGCCTAAGTTTAACTTCCCATGGAAGTGAATAACTGTTGAAACAGCTGTAAATGGACGTAACAAGAAACGCCTTAATGCACATGTTATCGCATGTTGTTACATTTTGGAGGCCATACGATTAGTGCTAACTGTATGACCCCTAAAATATAAAAAAATTGAAAAAAAAGTTTAAATAATTAAAACACTAAAAAAAAGATATATTTTTTTGTTTGGAAGGGTCCCAAAGAAATCCTATTAGAGTTTCATAGTTGTCTCTATAGCAAGAATGATCGTATCAAACCTACGTACTATGTTATTGATGAAAGTAGTATATCGTTTCGTGATTTATTTCTTTACAAAGATGCTAATTTTAGCACTCTGCGGTTTTCCACCCATCAAAACCCACTAAATGAGTACCTGGACATTCCCTTTGAGTCGTTTCATCCTGCGAACAACAAGAGGGCCTTTATTAGTGGTGAGCTTATGTGCTATGCTAGAAATAGCTCCATGTTTAAAGCCTTTAGCGAAATGCGAGAAATTCTGGAAGTGCCTCTGGCTTTGTGGTTACCCAGTTGGGTTTTTACTTCCTTTATTCAGGGAGGTTAAATACAGTAACAGTACTAAATGGCTTTCGCTAAAACATAAATCGCACAACGGTAGAATGGTAGTCTTTAAATCTACATTTAACTGTAGTTGTGCTAACTGATGTGAAGGACGAATACTTAGGTCACATGACTTTGAACGCTTAGTGAAAGTTTTGCGACTGTGTAGAGATGTTGTTTACTAGTTTTTAGGGTCGTAACTCATGGTAGAGATTGCTGTTCGTTTCAAGTTTGAATAAATGGTTTAACTCAGAACCACTAACATCAAGTTGGACTTAGACTTAGACTGTATTGTCAGTTATAATTCTACTACTACTTTAGCACATCTATGTAAATTATAGTATATTTTTGGGGGGCCATACCATTAGCGCTAATCGTATGGCCCCCAAAATATAACAACACGCAATAAAAAAAATTCCAATAACCTTCCAAGCAGATGGGCTTATAGGGTAGATCGTAGAGCGTAGAGCATAGATTGAAGAGAGAAGCTGGTAGAATGTAGAGAGTAGAGCGTAGATGGGCTTAGAGAGTAGATGGTAGATGGTAAGATCAAAGAGAGAAGGTGGTAGAATGTAGAGAGTAGAGCTTAGATGGGCTTAGAGTGTAGATGGTAGATGGTAGAGCGCAGAGTGTAGATTGAAGAGAGTAAGTTGCTGGTGGAACGTAGAGTGTAGATGGGCTTAGAGGTTAGATGGTAGATTATAGAGCACAGATTGAAGAGAGTAGCTGGTAGAACATAGAGAGTAGAATGTAAATGTTAGACATATAGCGTAGAGCATAGAGCGTAGAGGGTAAACTCAATACAGAATTGTACATTAAAAAGATTATTAAAATACTGAAAACCGTAATGATACTTTAATAACACTTTAATATATATGAGATAATAAAGAAAGCCAATAAATTACAATTACAAAAACTACAGCATCACAGATGATCAAGAAACTTACACTCTCAACCCAATATATTTTATCACTCTACTGGTTTTTTAAGCCTCTAAGCTAGTGTAGAGAGTAGTCAAAAATTCTTGAACTGATAAACTCGGAAATACGTAGAGTGTAGAGTGTAGATGGTGGAACATGGAGTGTAAGAGCTTTAAGACATAGCACGTTGACTGGAGATGGAAGAGCATATAGCATAGAGCGTAGTCAGAGTAAACTCAATACAGAATTGTAAATTGAAAACCATTATTAAAACACTGCAATCTGTAATAACACTCAACATTCCCCAAGCGATATAATATTTGCTACAATAACTATACGCCAGTACATCTCTACGGTGTACGCATATCTGAGAGAAACGGAACTTAAACATTCAAAATACTACCGTAGAGTCATAGAGCTCTATGAAAATTCCTACGCCTAATTGAGCTTCATAAAACGGGCTGGTATAAGTGAAGGATGAAGTGGGTCGATTTTGTTAAATCTAAACTCTAGCCATTCCTCGTCCGCTAGCAGATTGTTGGCATATGTCTCTTGCGTGCCTTCCTCATTGCTGGCCATAGAGCTCGAGTTTGGTGAACCTTCAACTTCCAACTTGTAATCTTCCATTTCTGAGACTTTAAAATCGGAACTGGAGGACAGACTGAAGTCGTTTGAAGCCATTTCGTGATCAACATGTACGCTAATAACATGTGTCAGCCGAATAAAAATGGTTTTCACTGGCACACAAAGATAACTACACGTCTCCTTTGTTGATTGTCCTGATGCTAATGTCCAGGAATCACGTCACTAGTCCCAGTCTCCCTTTTCCCTGGTGATGGGCAGAAAAAACCTGACTTTGAAAATTCATAAAAAATTCCGGATCTGACCAAAGACAAACATTTTTGCGCCATTTTGCTCAGAATTATAAAAAGATTAAATTCTGCAAAAAAATTAGGGGTTTCTAAGCACTTTAAGCTTGACTGTAGGTTTATACACATAGTTGATCCAAATGTCAGGTTGGGTGACTGAGCTTCTCATGCTTCCTGACTCTGACCTGATGTTGATTCAAATGATGAGTTACAGTCATTCTGATGTTTAACATAATTGATCAATTAGGTTCAAGTCAATGATAGGTCGTACTGTTTAGCTTGATTAAGGGTTTCTGAGACATCCCCGTTTGTTATTTTAATAAAAACAAGACTAGAGGCTGAAATAGAAAAGAGAGTTAATATAGAGTATAGGTCTTATTTTAGATGAAAACATTCAGAAACTCTAAGCTAGTTACTAAAAAAAATATTAAAAGGTCTCTTAACAGAAGTTTAAACTATAAGAGACATTAATAAATGTTGTGCTAACATGAATGAATACTTTTATTTTAAGGGGGCAAACATTGGAATTGATGATGACGATGACAGCACGTTTACCATTAATTGTGATCAAAAGACATTTCACTTTCAAGGTATCTGAGGGCATAAAGTTAACCGTCTTTCTTTTAAAGTAAGGTGTTAGAGCCAAGCTGCTATTTTACTACGTTGCTTATGCTTAATAATAACACGTTACAATTGTCCTTTAGATTTCGAGGAGCACAAAGGTTTACTCGGAACATTTTAAACCATCAGACTTTCGAACGACCTTCTCTGGGAAACATGTATTGAGGAAAGGTTAAAATGGATTCTTGCTTTTCTTTTTTTTTGGAGAACGTACTGTCCAGCGAAATACAGATGGAACTGCACCTTTCCTCAATACCCGTTTCCCAGAGAAGGTCGTTCGAAAACCTGATCATTTAAAATGTTCCGAGCAAACCTTTGTGCTTCTCAAAATCTAAAGGGCAATTGTAATGTTTTATTATTACAGGCAATAAAGAGTACATAAGGAACATAGTAAAATAGCGGCTCAACACGTAATTCTAGTCCATCAAATTAAATGTAATTAATTACTTTGCAAACCTGAACAAATTGATTACAGATAAAGCTTGCTTATCTCAATGTCATAAAACACAATCACTAACCTGGAAGTTTTTGCCAACATCTCAACAAATTCTTACAATCCAGCTTTTCTTCGTATATTTGTTGCCTGGAAAGCGATGAGAGGTAATTCCTAACTGACCTTTTGATCTGTTATTTGAGCACAAGGGCAAACTACAAAGATCTTTATTTGGCATGATTAGCTGCAAACTCACAGATTAAACATGCATCGCCTCGATTTCATGCCTAAAGTACATGCATCATATCCAATATGGCCGCCGTGTGACAAGGGTGAATGTGGACAAAGACCAAAAACTGTAAAAAAAAATGTATGAAGCTTAATTGGTATTTCCAGAGGGGTGGTTGGGGTCTTAGAAAAACTCCCTTCCATGTTGGAGGTATGGAATCTTTTCTGGAACTGCACTTTGAAGCTAGAGGGAATTTTACACCAATTGACTGGACCCAATAATGGTCTGAATAGTTGTGACTTTCCTGTCTTCATTTAGTAAAAAATATTATAATAACTAACTCATTAATTTTTGCCAAATATTTTTTGAGGGTTTCTGAATTTATTCTTAACGATTGTAGTATGAAAGCGAGTTCCATTTTCGACGATAATTATTCTTTGTTTTCAGCTCGTGATTCAGAGGAGAGAGAACGCTGGATAAGGGCCTTAGAAGACACAATCAAAAGACATTCTCAAGCAAGAAAGGTTTTTAATGAGTAACATTTCAGTAGGCTCCAAGTAGTTTTTCTACTTTAGCTAGTGTAGGTTTTGATGATAAAAATTTGGTTGGAAGCCTTCAATTCTTGTCAAACTACACCATAATGATCACATACAACCATAGTTTTACTTGTTTCTTAGCAGGAACAATTTTTATGGTAGATTTAGCACAGTAATTAATGTGGTGTGGTCTATTTTATATTTGAATTATAAAATTGGCAAGGTGTGATATTGGTCCATTACATTCATAATGAAACTAATAGCATAACATCATGTCATGCTACTTGCTGGGATTGAGGAAGCAATTAAGTACAATAACTGTAGGATGGGTCCCCCGGAACTGATGCATGCTGACTGGTTTTTGATTCCTATGGTATCAGTATTATTTCAATCCATGAAATAAAGCAACCAAAAACAGATTTAAGCTTAAAGTTGGCTTTGTGACAGAGCCACGTAAATGCTCCTGGAATGGAATTCTACCCTGTGTGACTATCTGTTTAAGGAAACCCTTTTGATAAAGGGTCTAAATACAGAATTCCCAGAAAACTAAATGCAACTCTAACATCAGGAAAATTTGGAGATCACAATGAGCCAAGTAAAAACTAACATATAATGCGCACTTTGCGAGAATGAGCAAACAGATATCAAAGACAAAACATAACTGTCAATAAGGGTCAGGTCGACCTACATGTAGATCAAGTCCTTCTTTTACTTAGAAATTCTCTTGAAGATTTGTTTTTTAAATTTGGTAAACAGGTAGTCAAACCTCTGCCCTTTGAAATATAGAAACATGAATATTAAGTTTCAGACCAGATTTTGAAAACTTCAGCCTTTTATAAAAGCCAAAGAATACCACTTGTTGCTATAATGGTAATCTCTGTTGCTAAGAAGCCAGTCAAGGTGAAACTACAGTCTATGTGATCATTGCGGTGTACTTTGACAAAAGTTGGAAATTACCTTCTCCCTTAATTTTAATCTTTACAACATGGATCCTATGCAGTTAGAAGCAATTGTGTTGTTCCAGAAAATATCCATGGATACCCCTCCTGCGGAAGGTTTTTTAGCTTGAACCCCCCCACCCTTCCGGAAATTCCATTTTAATGTCTCACTTTCCTTTAAAAAATTGGGCTTTTGTAACCCCCCTCCCCTTAGGAGTTTCTGTTAACCTTCCGTTGGGTGGGTATGGATATTTTCTGGAACCACACATTAACTATATCAAGCTTTAGAGCAAGATTATTTCTGAAAGATCAACCTTGGCTTGTAGCTAGGACAATCACAGAACTCCTTGGATATGATATTATTTTCTTCTTAATTTAGAGAACAATGGCTGGTTTTCAGACCCTATTTGATCCCTCTCAAGAAAATTTAGAGCAACGCTTAGCAGAAGCTGAAGCGTATCAGAAGATTCTTGAACAGCAAATCAAGGTATTTCTTATCCAGGATTAAAAATTGACTCATGTTGAGCTCACAAAGGTCAATACTTTTATCTTTAGATTGCTACGAGTAACCAGATTTGTATAAAAGGAAACAAGTTTAAATGTGGAGTTAGCAAAACTGCCCAATCACACCCAGTATTCATATGTGTGCATCGTAATTCAGTTATGTGTACTAATATGGTGTGAGCAAAGTTAGCATTACTTCACCATTTGTTGGTAATGTTCTAAAACAATTGATTCTTTCCAATACTTATAGCAGCTGTTCATCTGATATGCCTAGATTAGCTAAATGCTACCAGCGGATCAGTATACTATCGTATTAGTTTTCTTAAATTCATGAGGAGAGTAAAAGTGTGTGCATCATTGAGCCATGATGCACTTGGCAAGTCTGGAGAGCACTCAAACAGCTAGATTTGCTATCAGTTGTACTTTGATCAGCTCTTACTTTTCTTTTGTCCTCTTCAAACATTGCTTGTGCATCATAACTTGATGATGCATGCTAAAGCAGTATTCATGTTAACTTTCTAACACATAGAAGCCATTCAAGGTGACTGCGCATGCAGCAAGCCTGACTGTCATTCATTCTCACAATAATGTTGACAACTAACAAAAAATACTTTATAAAAAAGAAACCCTATACGGGACAGAAACCAAAAATGCAAAGTACTCAGCACCACTAGAAATACAACTCCTGATAAAGGATCAGAGCTGAAATTTTTAGGATGGATTGGTGAGAATGTCAGTCCATGGCAGGCAGAAACAAGAACAAAGTACCCAATTTTTGAACTGCATCAGTTTTATCACCAGTGACTCGTGTGAAAAACATTTCTGAACTATTTTGTTTCACTCAGCCAGTGGAAGATTATCCTCAGTTCACTGGACAATGGTTACACTAACCCATGCTGATTATTTGTTCTTCTATCTAATCACTGTACTTAATACTCAGAGAGATAATTATTAATTAATTATTCCTTTTAGGCTCTAAACACTCACATGAGTGCTGACACAGGAGCTCACGATTCACAGGTACACTATGACTCCACTCTGTAGACACTTTATTACAGACACTTTTGTTTGCCCTGACTGAAAGCTCAGGAACGTAAAGTTTTCTCTTAGCCCACATAATTTGAACTCTAGTTGTAATATGTACAATGGACATATTTCTGTCACCCGAGTGACCATTCTCATACATTTTAGTATAGAGACTTATGACTATTTGCTTAGTTGGGTAGGTAAAATAGTTGAACATAATTTTGTGGTGGTGTAGTGTTTTAAATGGCCAAAAATGAGTTAGTTTATTTCACTTCACTGATATAGTTGCAAAATTTAAAACAGCAAAGCATCATTGCTGCATTTCTTTTTGTTTATTATTGTAGAGATATGCCATTCTCAAGGAATCATCCACTGTAAGTTTAACCTTGTGTGCACAATTATATAACTTTGCTTTATAGAGAGCTCTTAAGTTGTACCAGTGTTNATATAATATTTGCTACAATAACTATACGCCAGTACATCTCTACGGTGTACGCATATCTGAGAGAAACGGAACTTAAACATTCAAAATACTACCGTAGAGTCATAGAGCTCTATGAAAATTCCTACGCCTAATTGAGCTTCATAAAACGGGCTGGTATAAGTGAAGGATGAAGTGGGTCGATTTTGTTAAATCTAAACTCTAGCCATTCCTCGTCCGCTAGCAGATTGTTGGCATATGTCTCTTGCGTGCCTTCCTCATTGCTGGCCATAGAGCTCGAGTTTGGTGAACCTTCAACTTCCAACTTGTAATCTTCCATTTCTGAGACTTTAAAATCGGAACTGGAGGACAGACTGAAGTCGTTTGAAGCCATTTCGTGATCAACATGTACGCTAATAACATGTGTCAGCCGAATAAAAATGGTTTTCACTGGCACACAAAGATAACTACACGTCTCCTTTGTTGATTGTCCTGATGCTAATGTCCAGGAATCACGTCACTAGTCCCAGTCTCCCTTTTCCCTGGTGATGGGCAGAAAAAACCTGACTTTGAAAATTCATAAAAAATTCCGGATCTGACCAAAGACAAACATTTTTGCGCCATTTTGCTCAGAATTATAAAAAGATTAAATTCTGCAAAAAAATTAGGGGTTTCTAAGCACTTTAAGCTTGACTGTAGGTTTATACACATAGTTGATCCAAATGTCAGGTTGGGTGACTGAGCTTCTCATGCTTCCTGACTCTGACCTGATGTTGATTCAAATGATGAGTTACAGTCATTCTGATGTTTAACATAATTGATCAATTAGGTTCAAGTCAATGATAGGTCGTACTGTTTAGCTTGATTAAGGGTTTCTGAGACATCCCCGTTTGTTATTTTAATAAAAACAAGACTAGAGGCTGAAATAGAAAAGAGAGTTAATATAGAGTATAGGTCTTATTTTAGATGAAAACATTCAGAAACTCTAAGCTAGTTACTAAAAAAAATATTAAAAGGTCTCTTAACAGAAGTTTAAACTATAAGAGACATTAATAAATGTTGTGCTAACATGAATGAATACTTTTATTTTAAGGGGGCAAACATTGGAATTGATGATGACGATGACAGCACGTTTACCATTAATTGTGATCAAAAGACATTTCACTTTCAAGGTATCTGAGGGCATAAAGTTAACCGTCTTTCTTTTAAAGTAAGGTGTTAGAGCCAAGCTGCTATTTTACTACGTTGCTTATGCTTAATAATAACACGTTACAATTGTCCTTTAGATTTCGAGGAGCACAAAGGTTTACTCGGAACATTTTAAACCATCAGACTTTCGAACGACCTTCTCTGGGAAACATGTATTGAGGAAAGGTTAAAATGGATTCTTGCTTTTCTTTTTTTTTGGAGAACGTACTGTCCAGCGAAATACAGATGGAACTGCACCTTTCCTCAATACCCGTTTCCCAGAGAAGGTCGTTCGAAAACCTGATCATTTAAAATGTTCCGAGCAAACCTTTGTGCTTCTCAAAATCTAAAGGGCAATTGTAATGTTTTATTATTACAGGCAATAAAGAGTACATAAGGAACATAGTAAAATAGCGGCTCAACACGTAATTCTAGTCCATCAAATTAAATGTAATTAATTACTTTGCAAACCTGAACAAATTGATTACAGATAAAGCTTGCTTATCTCAATGTCATAAAACACAATCACTAACCTGGAAGTTTTTGCCAACATCTCAACAAATTCTTACAATCCAGCTTTTCTTCGTATATTTGTTGCCTGGAAAGCGATGAGAGGTAATTCCTAACTGACCTTTTGATCTGTTATTTGAGCACAAGGGCAAACTACAAAGATCTTTATTTGGCATGATTAGCTGCAAACTCACAGATTAAACATGCATCGCCTCGATTTCATGCCTAAAGTACATGCATCATATCCAATATGGCCGCCGTGTGACAAGGGTGAATGTGGACAAAGACCAAAAACTGTAAAAAAAAATGTATGAAGCTTAATTGGTATTTCCAGAGGGGTGGTTGGGGTCTTAGAAAAACTCCCTTCCATGTTGGAGGTATGGAATCTTTTCTGGAACTGCACTTTGAAGCTAGAGGGAATTTTACACCAATTGACTGGACCCAATAATGGTCTGAATAGTTGTGACTTTCCTGTCTTCATTTAGTAAAAAATATTATAATAACTAACTCATTAATTTTTGCCAAATATTTTTTGAGGGTTTCTGAATTTATTCTTAACGATTGTAGTATGAAAGCGAGTTCCATTTTCGACGATAATTATTCTTTGTTTTCAGCTCGTGATTCAGAGGAGAGAGAACGCTGGATAAGGGCCTTAGAAGACACAATCAAAAGACATTCTCAAGCAAGAAAGGTTTTTAATGAGTAACATTTCAGTAGGCTCCAAGTAGTTTTTCTACTTTAGCTAGTGTAGGTTTTGATGATAAAAATTTGGTTGGAAGCCTTCAATTCTTGTCAAACTACACCATAATGATCACATACAACCATAGTTTTACTTGTTTCTTAGCAGGAACAATTTTTATGGTAGATTTAGCACAGTAATTAATGTGGTGTGGTCTATTTTATATTTGAATTATAAAATTGGCAAGGTGTGATATTGGTCCATTACATTCATAATGAAACTAATAGCATAACATCATGTCATGCTACTTGCTGGGATTGAGGAAGCAATTAAGTACAATAACTGTAGGATGGGTCCCCCGGAACTGATGCATGCTGACTGGTTTTTGATTCCTATGGTATCAGTATTATTTCAATCCATGAAATAAAGCAACCAAAAACAGATTTAAGCTTAAAGTTGGCTTTGTGACAGAGCCACGTAAATGCTCCTGGAATGGAATTCTACCCTGTGTGACTATCTGTTTAAGGAAACCCTTTTGATAAAGGGTCTAAATACAGAATTCCCAGAAAACTAAATGCAACTCTAACATCAGGAAAATTTGGAGATCACAATGAGCCAAGTAAAAACTAACATATAATGCGCACTTTGCGAGAATGAGCAAACAGATATCAAAGACAAAACATAACTGTCAATAAGGGTCAGGTCGACCTACATGTAGATCAAGTCCTTCTTTTACTTAGAAATTCTCTTGAAGATTTGTTTTTTAAATTTGGTAAACAGGTAGTCAAACCTCTGCCCTTTGAAATATAGAAACATGAATATTAAGTTTCAGACCAGATTTTGAAAACTTCAGCCTTTTATAAAAGCCAAAGAATACCACTTGTTGCTATAATGGTAATCTCTGTTGCTAAGAAGCCAGTCAAGGTGAAACTACAGTCTATGTGATCATTGCGGTGTACTTTGACAAAAGTTGGAAATTACCTTCTCCCTTAATTTTAATCTTTACAACATGGATCCTATGCAGTTAGAAGCAATTGTGTTGTTCCAGAAAATATCCATGGATACCCCTCCTGCGGAAGGTTTTTTAGCTTGAACCCCCCCACCCTTCCGGAAATTCCATTTTAATGTCTCACTTTCCTTTAAAAAATTGGGCTTTTGTAACCCCCCTCCCCTTAGGAGTTTCTGTTAACCTTCCGTTGGGTGGGTATGGATATTTTCTGGAACCACACATTAACTATATCAAGCTTTAGAGCAAGATTATTTCTGAAAGATCAACCTTGGCTTGTAGCTAGGACAATCACAGAACTCCTTGGATATGATATTATTTTCTTCTTAATTTAGAGAACAATGGCTGGTTTTCAGACCCTATTTGATCCCTCTCAAGAAAATTTAGAGCAACGCTTAGCAGAAGCTGAAGCGTATCAGAAGATTCTTGAACAGCAAATCAAGGTATTTCTTATCCAGGATTAAAAATTGACTCATGTTGAGCTCACAAAGGTCAATACTTTTATCTTTAGATTGCTACGAGTAACCAGATTTGTATAAAAGGAAACAAGTTTAAATGTGGAGTTAGCAAAACTGCCCAATCACACCCAGTATTCATATGTGTGCATCGTAATTCAGTTATGTGTACTAATATGGTGTGAGCAAAGTTAGCATTACTTCACCATTTGTTGGTAATGTTCTAAAACAATTGATTCTTTCCAATACTTATAGCAGCTGTTCATCTGATATGCCTAGATTAGCTAAATGCTACCAGCGGATCAGTATACTATCGTATTAGTTTTCTTAAATTCATGAGGAGAGTAAAAGTGTGTGCATCATTGAGCCATGATGCACTTGGCAAGTCTGGAGAGCACTCAAACAGCTAGATTTGCTATCAGTTGTACTTTGATCAGCTCTTACTTTTCTTTTGTCCTCTTCAAACATTGCTTGTGCATCATAACTTGATGATGCATGCTAAAGCAGTATTCATGTTAACTTTCTAACACATAGAAGCCATTCAAGGTGACTGCGCATGCAGCAAGCCTGACTGTCATTCATTCTCACAATAATGTTGACAACTAACAAAAAATACTTTATAAAAAAGAAACCCTATACGGGACAGAAACCAAAAATGCAAAGTACTCAGCACCACTAGAAATACAACTCCTGATAAAGGATCAGAGCTGAAATTTTTAGGATGGATTGGTGAGAATGTCAGTCCATGGCAGGCAGAAACAAGAACAAAGTACCCAATTTTTGAACTGCATCAGTTTTATCACCAGTGACTCGTGTGAAAAACATTTCTGAACTATTTTGTTTCACTCAGCCAGTGGAAGATTATCCTCAGTTCACTGGACAATGGTTACACTAACCCATGCTGATTATTTGTTCTTCTATCTAATCACTGTACTTAATACTCAGAGAGATAATTATTAATTAATTATTCCTTTTAGGCTCTAAACACTCACATGAGTGCTGACACAGGAGCTCACGATTCACAGGTACACTATGACTCCACTCTGTAGACACTTTATTACAGACACTTTTGTTTGCCCTGACTGAAAGCTCAGGAACGTAAAGTTTTCTCTTAGCCCACATAATTTGAACTCTAGTTGTAATATGTACAATGGACATATTTCTGTCACCCGAGTGACCATTCTCATACATTTTAGTATAGAGACTTATGACTATTTGCTTAGTTGGGTAGGTAAAATAGTTGAACATAATTTTGTGGTGGTGTAGTGTTTTAAATGGCCAAAAATGAGTTAGTTTATTTCACTTCACTGATATAGTTGCAAAATTTAAAACAGCAAAGCATCATTGCTGCATTTCTTTTTGTTTATTATTGTAGAGATATGCCATTCTCAAGGAATCATCCACTGTAAGTTTAACCTTGTGTGCACAATTATATAACTTTGCTTTATAGAGAGCTCTTAAGTTGTACCAGTGTTACTTGTTTCTTTTTGAGGACTTTTTTTCTGACGATTTACAGTTTATAGAAACTTTATTACTGCAAACCTACTGTGGAATTATGTTGTCATTCCCAAGTCAAATTATTTATTCATGAAATGTGATACTTTTCTGAACAGGTACCTGTTAACACAATGCATTTATTTTAGGGTCTGTAAATTGTTGTTCAAAATGTTTTAGTGCATTTGTTTCAATGCATTATGTGCTATAAGCTGCAGAAATGAGGTGCATACCCTTATTTTGCACTGCTTATCTATTTGTTATGAGAGGAAGATAACATTATCAATATGATAACCTATTCAAGGTAATATTTGAACAGCCAGCATCATGGGAATTAAGTGTGGGTTGCTTTGTAAGAAGATATCATTACGTGAATCATGTGAAATATTCATCAGTTGCATTTAGTTTCTGATGGCAGAATTACCTCAAATTTGCACAAGTTTAGACAAAGTTACTGCATCACCCTAGTTATTGATGGTGTGCACTGTCAGCCTTTTTAGCTAGTTACCTTTTTATTTACTTTCATTTCCTAGCTCTTGTTTTAGGATAACAGTTACAAAATTTGGCTCTTAAATATATTCAATTCCCAGTATTTCCTTTTTTATAGTCTTATTGTTGGTCATCTTGATATGAGGTGGACAGCTCTAGAGAGAAAATGAGATAGGATATAGAACTATGCATTATCTATTAAAGAAATGGTTCATGCTTAGTGTGTATATATCGAGTTATGGATACACGTGGGAAGTTTGGATAACACAAGAGAAGCACAATAAATAATGAATGGATAAGGAAAACAAAGGATCCTATTCGCTGGTTAAAAACGTGCCACAATCAGTTCAGTGACAGTTGAGTGAGAACGCTTCATTTGGTTTCTAAAATTGTCAATTAAGAATTTGCTTATTTGAATTAATGCAAATGTAGGCAAACAACGTCAAAATACTCAAGTTTTAGTAAATATCTTAGCTTGGCAAAGGTCAAAGTGCAAAGTACGGTTTGGATTGTTCAGAATGCTGAAACTTTAGCAAAAGGAACTTGCAGTTTAACTCAATGGAAACTTTGCTTTTAAAAATTAATGAAGTTACACACATCGTGTTATTTATGTTATTTTATGCGTATATAGAGAGATTTAGCATGATGGCTCAATATCAATTAGGTATTACCAGTGTGTGCACTATGTTATAATAATTTATTCATCATTAATTTTCTTTGAATGATGGCCTGCTACTTTGCAATGAAAAAACAGTAATTGGTACAAATTTGTTTTCATTCATTTTGATAGCAGTCTTGGTTTAATCATGCTTTGATCAAAATCATTACTGAGATACAATCAGCAACATCTACTTCATATCCTTAAATTAATCAAGTCATTTCATTTTCAAATGACATTATTTTCTGTTTTTTCTTTTTTTTGATAAGTGCAGTATGGTTACCAAAATTTTCTTTATTTCACAGAAAATGCTGGAATCAATGAATTGTTGTTTGAAGCACATGTATACATTGAAGGTAACCGCCATTACAGTATCATTATAACCACTACTGAGTACTCTTTGTGTAAGACAGTTTTCTTTTTTTTTTTTTTATCATGGCTAATGATCAAGCAAGTTTCAATTTTATACAATAAATTATTTATTTTTTTAAAAAAGGCTAGAGCAATGCAACCTATTGTGACTTCCTAAGTTGTTTTTGGCTGCCTTTTTATTGGGAATGAGTGGGGTTTTAATTCAAATATTGTGGTTTTGACAGGTATTTATTTGAGAAGTGTTCTTTGTCAAGCGTGGGCAGTTGATCTAAGACATGCTAATAACTGTCATCAATCTGTATCTTTGAACACATTATGCTGGTAATAATTAATATGCAAGTCAAATGTACCATAATATCTTTAATGGAATCTATATTCCAGGAAGAATGTGAAAAATCAGCTGAGAGTTCTTTAACTTGTGATGAGCCAATGATGCCTGTAGTCAATGATCATTATTCTGCCAAGATGTCAAACCTTTCCCTTGACAGCAGTACAGCCGATAACAAAGACCAGCAAGACACAGAATCCACAGTAGAAAAAAGAACTTTGAAGCCCAGTAAGAGTGATTCCTCACTCAATGTTAGGGACAAAACATCCTCAGTTTCCAGTGATGAAGGATATGACCTACAACCTTCTAAAGCAACGTCAAAATCCAACCATGAACTCTCAACAGCTGTAAGAAATGTTCCCTCTCACCTGCCGTTAGAAATGCCTAATCTACTTCCACAAGTTGGTTACTCTGTGTCACCCACCCGAGATGGACATGTGGTGCCATTCACGTCATACTCAAGTAGTGAAGATGAAGATGACGTGGAATTCTTCGATGCAGATGAGTATCATGATTTAGAATCAGCTCCATCAAGGTTAGTTTGAAACCTTTTATTAGTAAGGAACTATATTCAGTTGTCAAGGAGTCTAGGATGAGTTGAACCCATGATCTTCCACACACCAAACAAATGCTCTGACTGAGTAATGAAATACAGTAACAACAATACTTTATTTACTCTAGACACTTGATACACATTTGCATAGAAAATTACAAAAACTTACAATGATTTAAGGAAAAGATATGCGCTTAAAGTCGAGCCAGGGGGATTTATGTCCCGGGGACGTATGTTGTGCTGGGTCATTTGTGTGACATATGTTGTGCCTTCTGCTAGGATTAGTGACGAAACCTTTGTTTGTGTTACTTTATCTCTGGTATCTGAGCAACATAACTACACTACTCGAAGTGCATCCCTACAACACTTAAATCCCGGTTTCTCCAGAATAAATATAAGGAAATTTTGCCCCACTGTTATTGGATGTTACTATTGGAATGACCTTCCTTTATCTATACGTAACTTAGCGACTAGAAAACGTTTTTAAAAAGCACTCTTCCAGTATTATTTTGCTCAGTATTAATTAATTCATACCTCTTCCTCTCCTATGTTAAGTTAACTTTTTTACCCTAATCATTATTATCAATTAAACAGGGGCATCTAATTAGCTTGCTATATTTTTGCCCTTTTCCATTTCTCCTCTTACTTGTTTACTTTATATTTGTCTTTGTAATTTTAGAATGGAATAAATAAATAAAATGAAAAAATGAAAATGTGAGAGACGTGCTAAGTTAAACCTCACAAAATATATGAACTACCTGCAGGGCTTTCAGTTACTTTTGAGTCACCTGTTTTCGTTATTTTTATACCCAAAAACTGTTGCTTTGTGGGTGAATTATGGATTAACAAGAGGCAAGTTCACCCATAGCACCAAAGGCCCACATGACCATATGTTATGGGGTACAGCCTTGAATGAAAGCACTGTTTTCTTCTTGCTTATTTCAGGAAATATGGTGGGTAAAATTATCAGGAAATCAGAAAATAATCAGAAAACACCAAAGGTTGCAAATCTGCACTTCATCTGACTGATTAACATTCACTACATATACATTTAAATAAAGCCTTCATTTTCACCATTTTCCCAAGCCTCCACAGTAGTGCTAAACAGAGTTATTATTTCTTGTAGCTCGCCTCCCCAGAGTAACCCATTCTCTGCATCCAAGAAATGGATGGATCGTGGTGAGTAGCATTTTGTTTGGTTACAGCTGTCAAAGAATGCAATTTTGGAAGTCAAAATCTTGTGTTTTAAGATGCTCTTAGCCCGAGAGTGTTTTAACTTTTACGATGACCCATCCATGGTGCAGCCCCTTGATAAATTGTTCAAACATGTCAACTGTCGAATAACCCAGATCTAGTGGCACGCTGGCACTCAGCTGTAGATGATTACGTCGTTGTACCATACCATTAAAGAAATATTTAAGTTGATTTTCTTTCTGTTGCACATACGTAATTTTTTCATTTTTTTTTTCTTAATTTGACATGTAAATAACATACATGTGTTGAAATGTGGCAGCTTATCTTTGCAGCTAAGCCCGGCAGAAAAGAAAAATAGTTCGAAATAGCAAGGGTTCGAAATACCTGGGTCAACATTAACAATAATATTACCATGAATGAAAATTAGTACATAATCAATACGATGGAATGTAAGAGGATGCCCAGGACGAAGTTAGTTACAGTAAAGCCAAGTTTTAGTGTTACAGCTGTTTTCTGGCCTGATATGTACCAATAAAGTTCGAAATAAACAGAGTTGATTTTTAGTCAAAAAGAAACTAATACCATGTGAATGACAGCAAGTTAGAAACAAATGAGCTCAATATAGTTGATAGTAAATGACTGAAAAAAACAAAGGCAAATCTCAGGCTTTGAGTTTGAAGTAATGGGAAGTTCAAAATAAACGAGGACGCATTAACTGGGTCCAGTTGTAATATGTGTTCTATCAAGAACATTCAACTTTCTTTTTGTTTACCTTATAACATTTTACTTACTTACTTAGTATACTTACTTACTTTAGTCTTTTAGATGGTAACGTAAATGTATCTATTTGTTATACCTCCCACCTCAAATACGTTTTCCGATTGGAGGAGAACGTGTCAGGTGTCGTGGGTCAAAACTCACTAACTCCCTAGGGAAACAACAACTTGAACTTTCGACTCGCAGGTGATCAGGCTCATTGAAACCGCGGCAAATTTTTCGAGTCAGCCGGCGTCAAGCAAACGATTTCTTCTCAGTTTTTTTCCTATTTTCGAGTTAGGAAGTATAACAAAACACTTAATGACTGGCCCCGCGGGAAACAGCGAGTTTCGTTTCCCCTCGACCTCAATGTTCCCCTCGGATTCGCCACGGGGAACATTGAGGGTGTCGGGGAAACAAAACTCACTGTTTCCCTTGGGGCCAGTCATTAAGTGCTCATTATTTGACTGCTTTGTTGATCTACCAGTATATGCAATGTAGACCTTATGCTACGGATTAAGGGGCCAGTGGTTTAGTCCGGCTGAAGTGTTCACGTGATATTCTTGGACAAAATATCTTACTTTCCTCCTGGGCTCTTGTTACTCAAAGGACCGATCGTCAATTTCACTAAAACGTTCGTAATTTAATTATGTTAATTCATCTTATAGCCACGTGAAAATAGGTTACGAGAGCATCGTTAAGCTGCTCTGGAAAATACTTGGGGACCCTACAAGGGATTAGTGTCTCCTGGCTATGTTCCAGGAGATTATTTTGATGAAAATCTTCTCTTGATATGATTTAGATGAGTATGAAATAGAGGACGGGGACACAACAGGAGGAGATCGTAAGTCTAATATATCAGTTGCCTTTGATAACTTAGGTTGTGGTGACAACAACAACAACAAAACTTTAATAAAGTGGTGTTTCATTTTCTTTTTAAACAAAGAAAATGACGATGAGTTTTTACATCTTCGACGATCGAATTCCATACTAATGGGCCTTGAAATCTTATATTCAATATTCTGTAATTTGTTCTTGCTTTTGGAAGATAATAAGACTGTTTTGCAGGAAGCCTTGTGTTATAGTTATGGATGTGTGTTATTTTAGTGAAGAAAGTAACAAAACACAAAGATTGCTATAGAGTTACTAGGTCAAAAAACTTATAATGTCGAGAGACTTAAACAAGACACAGGTCAAAAATGGATATATAAGAGCATAATATAAGCTTGAAAGAAAATCTAGACCTGCATAATACCGAAGTTTACAGAGAGGACCAGTACTTCTTCTGGGAACATTGAAATACACGCTTTAAGAGCTACCAATGTGTTTTTAATATTTCATGTCCTGTTGCCTGTGCAACCTTTTTAATTTTGGGTAACTTGGAAAGGAATTAGAAGAGCGTTTGACTTCGGAGGGAAACTCACATATGAGTGATGCGTGAGACTGGAATGGACTGGCTGGCCAAGAGACGAGTCCTAAACATTCCCATGACAAAAACTGTAGTTACTGCGGCTTACGCCCCGTCAGTACCATATTCCTCCCTGAGTTTTCAGCGTTTATCGGTTTTTTTTTTCGGCTTAATCAGTGCTTCAGCGTTCCACTCTCTAGAGACTGTGTCCACTAAAACATTGTCTGTATCGGTGTTCACTCATCAACACACATCATTGCATTAGTGACGAATCAGGTTTATTGCCGGAGTTAACCTCTAGTTTCAGTAGATTTGTGTCTGTGAGCTCGACTGTGGTTTAAGGACGTTCGCGCGAAAATTTTCCAACATTGATTTTTTTCTGAGACTTCTACCACTGTAAGATGATGAGTTAGTTATGTCAGAAATGTGAAATATGGGGGGTCACCGACTTCGTTTTTCGAACATGCCCGGAAGAACACCCTAAATCTGCAAAAATCGGGCTTCAGTTGTTTGCGAATAAGGCCACATAGTCTGTAAGCCCCAAAATATTGCAATTAGATCTTTAAGTGAAATGTTCTCTGCCAAATATTGTTTAAGTGGACCTATTAAGTGAATTTAATCAACCGGTGAGGTTCCTTAAAGAACAAGTTTGTGTATAGCGACCATAGTTTCACGCGCCTTGCAGCCGCGAGATGACAGGATTCGATGTCCCGTGGACAGAAATCTTGAAATTTTTTTAAATTCCCACATTGATCTTTTGTTCATTTTTGGACAATGTGGAGATAATTGTAAATAAAATCTGTTTCTGGAAAGAAAAGTTTGGGTCACCGAAAGTCCAAGATCGTTAAATCCAAGCAAAGTTATAACAATGGCGATCTGCCATTTTCAAACAGTTCTTGTTGTCACGTGCGCATGTATGAAACTGCGAAGATTCAAACCTAATCCTAACCCTTTGACATTTCGCAACTTTGGCGGTCTCCCATTTTCTTTATTCACGATGACTGGGAAGTTGGCGATATCCGGGGTCAGCTAGCCGTTTTTGCACCTTTCTGTTCCATGTTTTAGAGGAAAATGTCAATAGCATACTTTATGAATTCTCTGCGCCGAATACGATTCAAGGAGATGAGTTTGGGATGCTTATGGAATACGTTACCAATTTACGTTCGAGACGTGACAGTAAACGTCATAAACGTTTGCTAAAGTGGACAGAAAACTGCTATTAACTCACACGGGTAGGGATCGAGAGGCCTCCATAAATAAATACAACATGGGTGGTTGGTCAGATATTGAATCTCGAATTCAAGCTTTTGCCGGAACAATCCTTAATGTCAACATGTCAAGGACGCCTTCTTTTCTTTCCTTTCAGTGCTCTTACAAGAGAAATTACTCTAAAGAACTCAAAAGCCGGTCGGAGTACTTCACGTAACATAAGAGAGTCTGAAGAATCCATTGCAGTGATCATTATCTTCCAAGTATCGCGCTTGCAGATTTCATTTCTTTTTCGAAGAATCAGAGTTTATTTTTACATATTCATATGTCGAATATTTGCGATCAAATGTGTACGATCGTCTATAAATCCACGGCACGCTAAATGTGACGCGCAAATAACTGGACTGCCTCACATACCGGTAGTTTATTTAGTCTCGAAAACCGACAATCATAAACAAAGGTAATGAGATTGTAAAATTGAATCTATTTTTTTTTATTGTTCTCTTTGAACAAGCTTATTATTTGAAATTGTCACTGGTGCTGGTGTCAGTAGACACGTTTGGTTAATGTGATCTTCATAACTCTTGACGTCATAAGCCACGCCACGGCGGCAAATGTGACGCATTTTGTTTGGCTCAAATACGACCATTTCAAAAACATTTCATCACGAATTTGCAGTAGAAATGGCGAAAACGAATCAAGGTAACGTTGACTGTAATAATGCTAAGACGTACATACTAAAACAAATTTAGGGGTGCGATTGGACGAAGGTTTTTCCATAGTTAGTTTTTGTGAAAACTTTACTTTTCCAACCTTCTGTTGTCTCTGCTGGAAGAAGCGAACTTTGAACAGCAATTCAAGGGATTTTGATTCATATCGCAATGATGAAATCCTAACATTGAACCATGTTGTTATTTTTTGTAGTTGATGCAATTGACAAACACAGTAGTGTTATTACACATTTGTTATCTCAAGTGCGTCTTGGAATGGACTTGACAAAGGTAACGTGAATTCAGTATCAGTGGCAATAACATCACTTTGTCGGATGTCCATTTTACATGAAACAGATAGATAAGAAAATCAATCAATCAATCAATCAATCAATAAACACATAAAAAGAATAAGTGAATTAACAAATAATGAGTGAATGACATAATGAAGGAGAGAAAAAAGACTTCATGAGTGAATGAGTGAACGAATGAGCTGACGTATGGTATTTTTCCATACCATTATTACTACAGTTTGACTGACGCCATGCTGTCGGATGTTCTCTGTAGGTTGTTTTACCAACGTTTATTCTTGAGAGACGATCTTTGTTGGAAATGTACGCAGATTTCTTTGCACATCCTGACCTGTTTGTTGAGTAAGTTAAAGAATTATTTGCTGTAGTTACTTTCCGCCATTTTTATTATTAAATCCAATGTTAATTTTTGCATTTTTATATTTTAGTTCTGTTAATTTTTTAAGATAGCTGTGTCTTATGTTTTCATTGTGTCAGTAATAGCCTGTTCAGTGTTTTTGTGTCTCTGCATCCATTCAGTAATTGTTCAACTGCCGTGCAAGTCTCACAAGCGTGTCTTTTTCATGGTTCGCACAGGCCTGAAAAAGTCCTGGAAGTTAGAAACGCTAGGTTGTCTCCTTGAAAAGGCCTTGAAAACTTGAGACTGTAACATGAAAAGTAATATCGACTTGGATATACAACCTGCAACTGGAGACAAACATTTGAAGTCAGATAAAGTTGATTTCGTTGATATAGAAATTAAGTAATATCCAGTACCTAACAGCAAAGGTAATCACCCTTCTTTCAGTGGAGCCCTGAGTATTGTGTACGTTTGTGTTCCCACCTGTCCCCTTCCCATGATAGTTCTAAGGACAACGAGTCCTTGAATGTTGCTGAATTGTCTTTGAAAAAATGCTATTCAGTCTCTATGAACCATGTACTTTTTTTATTATTTTCAATGTGTTCTCGTTGCTGATTGTGTGTTTGCAGTATTGTGAACTATTCGGATCCTAAAGATCGTATGGTAGCAGTCGTCAGATGGTATCTGTCTGCATTCCATGCTGGTCGTAAGGTATGTTGCTTGTTCTTCTTGTTAATTCATTCGTTCGGGGACCCGAACATTTCCCAATTCTTATTACCCAATCAGAGAAAAGCCCGAGCACTTTGCGAATTTTTTCACAGGAGGTTGTCGCCATCAGAATAGGTTGATTTAACAAGAGAACGGGAACGTCACTTGACGACGGCGCGCGCAGTACAAATACCCAAATATGGTCGAATTAGACCAGAATCCAGGTTATTCCGCGCACCCTGCAGTCGTCATCTGACGTTCCCGTCCTGTTGCTAAATCAGCCTAATATGTCATGTTGGTAAACAGCGTGACCAACACTAGTTGCAAATAATTGTCTCAGTAACGATTCTGAGCGGAACAAAACGTGCTTTGTAGAACGCTTGACACCACATTGTTCTTCATTGACTAATTTGTAGTTGCCTCAGTTTTGATGTTGTAATGATCTTAAGTAGATGTTGCTATTTTATTTTACAGGGTTCTGTAGCAAAGAAGCCGTACAATCCTATATTGGGAGAGACGTTCCGTTGTTTCTGGGTGCTGCCTGAATGTGAGACGTCAAGAACAGAGGTGAATTAACACAGCATTATCGTTCTCAGGGAGCGGGTAGAAAAAGGCTTAACGCTTAGTTTACAACATGCTTTTTGTGATATCTTCAAATGGAAGAAAATGTAAATAAAAATAGTTAACTAAAGTAGCAGAAGATTGCGATAATAAAGGAACATGGGTTGCTAATTACGTTTTCCGTTATTTTGTAGAAATGTCAAATCGACGGTCCAGTGCCTTGGGCTTCTGAAGATGACGTCACTTTTCTTGCTGAGCAAGTATCCCATCATCCTCCAAGTGAGTGCTAATCGTGCAACATCAAATGTCACGTTAATATCAAGTGACATAAAGCTATTTTGTAGAAAAAAAATTCAAAACTTTTCACCTATCCTCCAACGCATGCAATTTTATTTGAGTTTCAATAACTCTCTCTTTATCTTTCTTGCTAGTTTCTGCCTTCTATGCAGAGAACTTTAGTAAACAGATTTCTTTCAACGCGCATATTTGGACCAAGTCAAAGTTCTTGGGATTGTCAGTTGGAGTAGAAAACATTGGACAAGGTAACAAATGTTCTTCATACACAGTTGAACTCTTTTCCGATTTTTTTAGGCACTTGATTTATGAACAGTCTGTTCGCTTACTCCACGTGTTTCAGTTAAGGTGATTCCTTAAGTTGCATTGCGCATCCCTACTGCGCACGATTTTCGCGTCATTAGCGCGCGCACATGAGCGCGTGCACGTACAAAACGTAAGAGACTTCCCTCAAACTAAACTTGATAGCGAAATAAATGCTCCTTTTCTCTTAAACGAGAACGGTGACCCCCACTTTTATTTCATAATTTCAATGAGAACGATATCCTCAATAATTGAGAAAAAAATTAGCAGAAATCTATGGCTTCTTTTTTGGCAAATGAAATAAATACTACAGAGGGAGACACAACGGGCCCAACAGCGCATGTCCAAATTATGTTTCCTTTAAAGGATAAAAAAAATGCAGGGTATTTGAAGACATTTTTTTCTGGGACGTAGATGAATGAACAATCAAAGAAAGTCAAACTCTGTGTGATATAACAAGCTGCATTGAAAAATAATCGAGCTTATTTGTTGCGCACGGAAATTACCAAAAGTCACCTAAATAACCGTATTTGTCAGCATTGTGGCGTGAAAACAAGCACGGTGACCCCCTCTTTTTACTACGTTTTTGATATCTCCTTGTCATGTAACAACAGCATACCAAGTTTCATCGGAAATCTATGGCGGGTTCTTTTCCCAGGGAGTCACCTTTACGGTGCCTACTTTTGCTAGTGCGCACATGTTCTGCGCATTACGCAAGGCATGGTTTACCGCCACGCGCGCGCTAAGGTTGGCATTGATGTAATCAACTACGCTACCAAGCACACGACTAAAGTGAAAGCAATATTTTCGTACCGTGACCACAGGGAGCACACAATCTTGCTGAGTAAGAAGAGAGTAAATAAAGGAATGAAGAGAATGAATAGTTAACCTTTGTCGGTACCAAACGCGTCATCCAGCGCGCGCTTGAGCTCCCCTCCATCTCCCACACATGCTTTTTTGACACGACAAATCTTTACAAACCCCTCCCCCGGTTCGCAGTTTTT